TAGCGATTTGATTTGAAACTGTCTCATTGCTATTTGTTTAACAATAAAATTATGAAAAAATTTGTACATCATTTAAAAACATTGCACAACTGATAAACAATAAAATTCAACCTATAAGAAATTTCAAGAAATAATAAAATTGCCTCTGCTAATACTAAAATAAATAAATAAGAGATAGTCCCAGTTATTAATTCTTTGAATTACTACCCGTGAGATTTGATTTCTGTTCATGAACTCTTTGCCTACCTCTATGTCTTCAAAAGTTCCTCCTCCATTCACTTCCTGGACATTTAGTTTTTATGTTTTAATGTTTAGATCTTTAATCCACTTTGACATTAGCTTAGTGTATATTGATGGACCTGGGTCAAGTTTTCTTTTTTGGCATATAGAGAGCCATTTTTCCCGCACCATTTGTTAAAGAGACTATCTTTCTTCCAGTAAGTGTATTTGGCCCCTTTGTTGAAGATCAGGTGACTCAGTGTGTTCATACAGGCCTTTGCATCTTTTAAATCTATTCCATTGATCCTTGGATATATTTTGTTGCCAGTACCATGCTGATTTTATCACAGTAGTCTTGTAGTATAATTTCAAGTCATGAATTGTAATGCCTCCTGCCTTGTCTTTGCTGCACAGGATTGCCTTTCACTACTCTCTGTCTTTTCTGCTTCCAAATAAATTTCAAGAACTATTTATCTAGATCTGTGAGGTATGTTGGTAGTAGTTTGATAGGGATTGGATTAAACTGGTACAGCAATTTTGGGAGTATGGCCATTTTCACAATGTTAGCTCTTCCTATTCAGGAGCAGGGAATATCTTCCCATTTTCTGAAATCCTCTAGGATCTCTTTTTTCAGAGTACTGTAATTTTCCTTGAAAAGATCTTTGACTTCTTTAGTTAGATTAATTCCATGGTTTTTCATTTTTCATGGTGCTCTTGTAAAAGGTATTGTTTCTATAATTTCCCTCTCGGCGTATTTGTTATCTGTGTAGAGGAATGCTATTGATTTTTGGGTATTGACTTTGTATTCTGCTATGCTACTGAATTTCTGTATCAATTCTAGTAGCTTCTTGGTACAATTTTTTGTGTCTTCCCAGTATCATGTCATCTGCAAATAATGATAATTTAACTTCTTCTTTACCTATTCTTATTCCTTTATGTCTCTCTCTTGTCTAATGGCTATAGCTAATGTTTCTAGAACTACATTGAATAAGAGGGACGATAAAGCACATCTTCATCTTGTACCAGATCTGAGGGTAAAAGATTTTAGTTTTTCTCCATTTAGAATTGTGTTAGTTATTGGGTTGTCATAGATGGCTTTTATCAGACTGAAGTAAAGGCTATCTATTTAAATTTTCTGAAGGACTTTGAACGTGAATGAGTGTTGGACTTTATCAAAAGCCTTTTATGCACCAGTTGTGATGATCATGTGGTTTTATATTTCATTTTATTGATATAGCTTATTACATTTATAAATTTGTATATATTGAACCATCCTTGCATCCCTGGGGAGAATCCTACCAAGTCATGGTGTATAATCTTCTTAATGATTTGCTGTATTTTATTTGGTAGGATTTTATTGAGGATTTTTGCGTCTATGTTCATGAGGGAGATTGCCCTGTAGTTCTCTTTTTTAGCTTCATCTTTCCCTGGTTTTGGTATCAGTATGATACTTGCCCCAGGAATGATTTTAGGAGGATTGCTTTCTTTTCAATTTCATTGAAATGTTTGAGGAGTATAGGGAATGTATCTTCCATAAATTTCTTGTAGTCTTCAGCTGTGAATCCATCAGAACCTGGACTTTTCATTGTCAGTAGGATTTTTTTCTTACATTTTGTATTTCATTGGCTGAAATATATGTTATTGGGTTATTGAGAGTGGTTATACCTTCTACATTCAGTTTTGGTAATTTGTACTTTTTTTGGAATCTGTCCATTTCTTCTGTGTCTTCTATTTTGTGACAGCAATGGTTGTCAAAGCAGCTCTTCATAATCTTCTGAATTTCCACTGGGTCTGTGGTAAATACACCCCTTTCATTCCTTATTGCTTATATTTAAATTTTTTCTTTCCTCTTTTTTATGAAGTGACTTAGGAGCTTATTAATTTTATTTAATATTTCAAAGAATCAGTTTTTTGATTCGTTAATTATTTGAACTGTTTTCTTCATCTCAATTGAATTAATTTCTGCTCTAATCTTTATGATTTCTTCCTGTCTTTGGGCTGTGGGTTTAGTTTGCATATATATATATATTCTTTTTCCCATCTTTTCTCTTTCCCTCATCCCAATTGTTCCTTCCCTTTGAGTAGATCCTTTCCCTTTCACAGTATCTATTGCATCTTTCACATTTTATTTAGAGTTTCAGGTTCTTATACTAGCTGGACAATATGAAGTTTGCACATGCAGGTCTTATTTACTTCACTACTTGCATCATTTACCTATAAATCCTTGAGTGTATCATTTTTATAGCTAATACTCCATTATGTAAAAATACTATGCATTTTTTATTCATTCCTAATTTGATGGGCATTTGGGTTTTTTCCATGATTTAGCTATGACGAATTATACTACTATAATCATGGTTGCACATCTATCACTGCTGTACGCTGTTTTCAGTTGTTCTGGAAAAGTGCCCAAGAGAGAAATAGCTATGTTGGCTGGAATCTTTAATCATAGGAGGTTTTTCTAAACACTCTCATGGCTTTATCCAAAACACAGTTGTACAAAATTATTTTCAAAGTTTTTAGGGAAAGGTTCTTGAGGAATTTAACACATTCTATACATACTGCTATACAAAAAGCATGAAAATATAACCCAAAACTTCTACAAAATATAAAACCCATACTTACTTATTCACATGAAAAAACCACCCACAAAGCTACATAAGTTTTAAAAGCTATCTGGGGACTGTAAGTTTTATTGTCAAACCAAAGAACTCTAATTATGATTGCACAATAAAATGATTGATAAGAAAGTCAAAACATAGACTTAGTTTTTTAAATAAGTATTTTGTACTTATTGATAGCATAGTATGCACTGCGAATTCTTAGAGACTAAATATGGCATTCCAACTGTTAAATAAGGGGGGGGGAAAGCTTAGCTTTCTGGAGATTCCAGGCCTTCATTATATTTGTCCTGTTTTCAGCCACTTTGCCATTTTTTTAGTTTCTCCACAAATAACTTCATAATTTTTACTCTAATACTCGAAGTCCTCCATTTTAAACTAAAAAAGCAGCAGCAATACCATACTGGTTTCAATGTGTCCCAGTAGAGAAGTGTAACTTCAATTTACTGACACTGTTTAGAAACTTACAAATATTCTGAGGGCTGGCCAAATAGCTCAGCAGATTAAAGTGCCTGCAAGAAGGCACAGGGGCCAGGAATTCGATCTCTGGGCCTGCCGTGCCAGCCCCACCCCAGAGGGGCGCATTGAGACTGAGTGTGGTGGCACATGCCTATAATTCCAGCTCTTGGGAGGCTGTGAACAAGCAGATCACAAGTCTAATCTAGCAGTGAGACCCTGAACTCCCTATAGACCCGTCCCTAAAATAAAATTTAAAAAGGTTACAAATATTCAAGGAGAAAAATTTCAGACAGCAAACATTAAAACAGCACAACTGCCTTGGACAGGATGCCTTGGTGACAAAAAAAAAAAACAAGGAGGGGGGTAAGGGGCTTGTCTCCTTGTTAGGCTCTGTTCAGTAGCCAGATGTACACATGCTCACACTTATCACAGGTACTGTTCTATTTGTAATGAGCTCCACCTTGAAAATCAATCATAATATCAATTTAGTTACAAATATTTTTCCACCTAACATAACCAATAATGTTTTATCTGGTAATGCATTATAACTATAGGAAGAATAATTAAAGTTCTATTCAGAAAAACCATAAATACTTCACAGAATTGGCATCCAAGTCCTTTGGGAAACCAACAGGCAACTGCCCAGGCATTTGAGAAATACTAATACGACTGGTAAAAGACTCTCTTACTTCTATCCTCAGCAGAACCTGGTGAATAAAATTTTATCAACAACATTAAGTTCTGAAAAATTTCTGTTTTTTCCACTTCATTTATTTAAAACCTAGCCAGATCTGAAAAGGTGACTAAGGTATGGGACTAAAGGTTTCCTTGGAGTTCTTGGGCCCAAACTTCTGGACAGAGTGGGCAAGAAAGGGAGGGGAGCACGGCAGTTGCCTATAGGAAGAAGGGGACCTGGGACCCAGCACGCAACCCCGGGTGTGTCGGGAGGGCTTACCGCATGCCTCTGGAGTTAGTATGAGCAATTGCTATTTTTCCTTCAAGCACAAAAGCTAACCTGTCATCACAAAGTCCATGAACTACGTTAATTACTAAACAGCACCCCTCCCAAGTCCATGAAATATATTGCTGAGTGGGAGTGTGCTCTCCTGCATCTGCTTTCCAACAGAATGCATGTAACAAGCATCCAATACCCTTAGCCAATAAGTCACTGCCTTCAAACTAAAGCTCTCTGTATCATTTCAAAAAATATAATCAACTTATCATTCAAGAAACTATTGTCATTTCATACTACAGCTGACTGGAGTTTCAGTTAACTTGTAAATAACTTTAAAACCTTATGAATGAAATGCACCAAACTATACCTGTGTAAAAGTAATCTTATTTAATTATGGGCTAAAAGTTGCTAATACAGTGTGCTTGAATTAGAAAAATTAAGATTCTACATAAATTGCTAGAGAATTTCACAATGGTGGGAGGGATCAATGAAAAACTTTCTCTACATACGATCTGATCATTAACAGACTAGTAAATCCTAATTGAAATGATAAGGCAAAAATAGTAAAACCCCGCTTTTCCTATAAAAAGTTACACATTATCTTCTACAGAGAAGATCTATCATACAGGGGGAAGTAAACATGTGCTCGTGTCACTGCACACCCAGAGCATCAGTGAGCATGGTCCCTGGGCGGGTGGTCACTAAGCAACCTAGTCATCTCTTTCCTCACCATCATCCTCAGCTTCTCATTTTCTCTTCTCCCCCCAGAGACCTTCTTCCTCTTTTCCCTCTTCTCCTTCTTCAACATAGTCATCATCATCTTCATCATCCTGTATTTCTTTTTTTATCGAGTACGAGAGGCCTACTTCTTCTCCCTCTCCCAGTTCTGAGCCGGCCTCCTCCTCCTCCTCCTCTTGCTCCTCCTCCTCCTCCTCCTCCTTCTCTTCCTCCTCTTCCTTCTCCTCCTCCTCCTCCTTGTCTTCTCTTCCTCTTCGCTCCACTCAGGGAAACCAGCTTCCTCTTCATCATCTTCCTTTCCATCTTCATCCTCCTCCTCTTCTGAGCCTGGTGCTTCCTTATCTTCCTGATCATATCCATCTAAGTATGTGATTTGCTGCAGCAGCTCAAAAATACTTTCTTGGTAATCTTCCAGGTTTGTGATCTCATAATTAAACAAATCCAGACTTCAAACTTTTAAGATTTTGCAGAGCTTCTACTAAATTTAGATCTTTGATCTTATTTCCACTCAGATTAAGGTAGGTAAGATTTGGGCATTACTCTGTTAAAATTTCCAAGTCTCCAGACATTGCATTGTCAGGAAGTTCCAACTTCCAAAGTTTATTTAGGCTGGGAAGGTGGGCCAGTGAACGGAGTGCCACATTAGCCATACTCAGAAATTCCAATTCTTTAAAAGTGTCATTCAGGCCCTCAATTTCCCCACTGACACACAGGCAATTATCAAGAACTAATTCTGTCACTTTCTCTGGAGCTCTGTTTCTTAGCACCAGGTTAATCTTCTTCACCATCTCCATGTCCTCCTCCTGCTCTTCTGCCACTACTCTCCTCCTTTCTCCTTTCATGCTCTTCCCACTACCCCGCAACCTAAAAATTTATGAAAATTTGGAAATTAATGAAAAGAATCAGAAATATAAACCCACCCTACCATCAGATAGGAGTGGGAGAGAAAAAAGAATAGCAAAGGGAGTCCAAGGAGTTGGGACACTTAACTTGTCTGCCCCCACCTCCTTGTCCACACACCCACATGTGCACTTGCACACACACCCACACACACACACCCACACACACACACATACACACACACGCACAGTTACTTCCCCTTCAATGGCTGCTCAGAAACTATAATCCTAGTTTTTTGAGAAATTTCTACACTCACTTCTATAGAGTAGAACACTGGTGTTTTCAATTATTATCTTTATTTTGTTTGGTTCAGTTGTCTATTTCTCCTTTCATTTCTGTCAGTTTATGTGTTTTTACTCCGATACTGGATCTAGATCTTTGTTACCTAAAATTTAATGTCATGTCTGTAATCTCAACGTTAACCTGTTGACCATCCTTTTCTGGGTCTACCAGGTACTGATAAAAGAACTGTCTTTCTGTGCTTACTGTTCATGTCAGTTTCAGCATTCATAGGCAGCTAATGTTGATCTCAGTGTGAACTAGAATAGAGTGGGACAGGCAATGAAAGGAGAAGGATCCCAACTCCATCACTTACTACATCAGTAACCTCAGTAAGGTCAATCATTCGCAAATCATTTCAAGATAAAGATTCAAAATATCATGAGTACTTTTGCTTATTCTTGTTGTAACACAAGAAACACACCAGGGGGTAATTGTTATTATTGTTAAAGGAAAATTTCAAGGATGAAAGATGGCAAAGCCACTTATGCCTTCTCTGTTCCCACCTTAAGTATCCTAGGGTCAATTTTGGTTCCTTATTGTGAAGTTTATCAGTGTCTTTCTTATTGGCTTGATTTTTCTATGGCTTTTCAGAAAAGCCCTAAACACTCTTAAAGGAAAATTAACACTCTCAAATGTGGCATGCTCTTCCCAAATGCTAGCATTCCTTTGTGTAGAAACAAAATCCAGAATGGGGAAACTATAAAATGCAGAGTATAATAGACAAGAGTTGAATTAGTTTGGCTTAATCTTTTGATGTACTTGCTCCATGCCCAGCCTCAGTGCTAAGTACATCCATAGGCAAAATGTTATGAATGCAGAACAAAAAGAACAACAACAATATAAATGATCCATCAAAATTAATGAGTTGTCCCTAAGAATCTGTGTCAAAATCTAGTAGAGCTTTTTATAACTTAGTATCCTGCAGAAAGTTGGGACTTTCCGCAATATGTGTGCTTGTCATTAGTATTTCACAAGACCTGGCCAGTCCCTTTGCAAACTGTGACCCTGAGTGATATTCTCATCTTATGCAAACTGTTCTGCTGCAATGTCCATCCGGTCATCTACCTTGATCCTGGTCACATAAGAGCAGTATATGTTCACCCTTTTATAGAGTCTATCCTGGCTGATTTTTTAAGATTCCCATAAGGGACTTTGGGTAGCAACAAATACTATAGGGCCAAATACAAGCAAGTCAACAACCTCTATGTTGAAATACTGACTCCTGGCTGCTTTGCAGGCACAGGTGCTGCATGCCATGCCACTGTGCCAGCCACTGAAGCTGGGTGTGGTGGCTCATGCCTATCATTCCCATGCTGGGGAGGCTAAGACAGGAGGATCACTACAAGTCCAAGCTGTGCAGCAAGACCCTGTACCAAACAAACAAACAAACAAACAAACAAACAAATTTTTTTAAAAGTTTTTAAAAGACTCTCAAATAACTAGTCCTGGAATTGTCCATCTAGATATATCTGTATATACAAATTAGTTAGGTTAGATATACAGATACTTTCTCTTACTTCAATGAGAAGAAAGATTTATACTGTGCTTAGACAAGACATCATATTTTCATCTTGCATTATTAATAACTACTATGAAGACAATAATGTACAATATATTAATTATTGTAACTGTCCTACTAACTTCTTGAAACTGTCTCATTGTTATTTCTTTCTAAATAAGATTAATTTAAAAAATAGAATCTGCTGAACATATATCAGTCTTCACCAACAATCCGAATTCTACAGTGACATCCATGTCCTATCCAATTAAATCCAATGCTTTTGCTCTACTATAGATCTCAAAAATCAACAATTGTGAAACCTTTCCCAACCTGGAATTCCAACTATGAATCTCAGCTGCACAACCAAGCAAATAGTCCAATGTTTTTAATTCTTGATAAAATTTGTTACCCCTCATTTATCTTCAGTTCCAAGATTCTTCCTCTTTCAGAGCTAAAATTTCAGTGTGAAACATTATTTGTGAATACACTCAAATGTCCCACCCCCACCTAACTGCAAGTGACACAAACTAGGCAGGCTGCATGTTTGGGGCGTGGTTGGGAGGTAAAATGAAACAGTTGTACAAACAAGAACAAAGGCCATACTTCCACCTCAGGGAGTATAAATGAAAAATCATCTCAGCTATCACCATCTGACTGTGAATCTCACTGCAATCATGCTGGCTTCAGGGGTGCTTCTGGTGACTCTGGTGGCCTGCCTGAGTATAATGGCCTTGATGTCTGTCTGGAAACAGAGGAAGTTCTGGGGGAAGCTGCCTCCTGGACCCATCCCACTGCCCTTCATTGGGAACTACCTGCAGCTGAACACAAAGAAGATGTACATCTGCCTTATGAAGGTGTCTCCAGACAAGGGGATGGGTGGAATGTGGTGGACATGGTATTCCTTGTATTTTGACTGGGACTTGGAGAAAGGGTACTAATGAGGATAAACCAGTCTTAGGATGGGGAGATTTTGATGGTTAAGCAACTACAAACTATCCAGGAAAAAAAATCTATATCTTGAGATGTCCTTGACTGTCAGAGCCTGGGAGAAATGAATTGTAGCATCTGAATTCTGGGTATTGGACCTAATTCAGTGAATAACTCATCTACTCATTCCTACCCACTCCTATCAGATGAGCAAGAAGTATGGCCCAGTGTTCACCATCTACCTGGGGCTTCGCCGGGTGGTTGTGCTGTGTGGATATGACATAATAAAGGAGGCTCTGGTGGATCAGGCTGAAGATTTTAGTGGGAGAGGCGAGCAGGTCACCTTCAACAGGCTCTTCCAAGGCTATGGTGAGTGGCATACCAAGAGGGAAAAAAATGTTTCTACAGATTTGGTGGGCTTAGTTTCCCCTGTCTTCTCTTTTGACTCATCTGCCCACAAAAGGTTGTGCAGAGCTTTTTCTGCTTGCCTTCTCCACACATTATCTTTCCCTGTGTCAGTCTCCAAGATGTTCTAAACTTCCTGTCTGAATTTCTGCCATCTTTCTGTCCCTGTCTCCTTGTTCTTTCTCAGTATATGTTGCTTCTTTCTCTGGATCTATGCATCCTAGAACCTCTTATGATTATTGTCGTGGAATCCTGCTCCTCTAACTATCTGACATCTTTGGTTCTCAGCCTCAGCTTCTGTGCTTCCCCATGATTATTTCTGTCTTCTGCTCTCTCCCTTCTTGCTGTGGTAGAATCTTTATACAATGTCTGCTTCAAAGTTTCATTACTTTCAGGGCAAAATTTTCTCCATTCAAAGGATTTCTTTTTCTCTCTTGCTATTTTTCTCCTTCTCCAGCTCAGCCTACAATTTTTCACAATTTTGTTTCAATTTACAGGCATAAAAATAATCTCACTCCCTCTCCTTCTGTCCATATGTCCCTTTACTCTTGTTTTCCTCCTTCCACTGGAGTGCCTTTGTACCATTGTTTCTCTACACCTATCTTACCTTTCCATGTCTTCCTTCTTTCGATTATCTTCTTCCAAATAAATCTTTCTCTTTCCATATATATCTGACTCTGGCTCTGAGTTTGTAGCTTTCATACTCTCTCATTCTTGATCTCATTCCTTTCCTATAGGGAGCCCCCATCATGGGTGATCTGTGGCCTTCCCAGCCTTTCTCTGATGTCTTCCTAGCTTTCCACTTACCACCGCAGGCGTGACATTCAGCAACGGGGAGAGATCCAAGCAACTTCGACGTTTCTCCATTGCTACCCTGAGAGACTTCGGTGTGGGTAAACGTAGCGTTGAAGAGCGAATTAAGGAAGAAGCAGGATACTTGGTCCAGGCCTTTCAGGCCACACGTGGTGAGTAGGGACCCTACTGTGCTTGGGGAGCAAAAGGAAAATACCTGATCAGAAGGACCTGTGGTGAGGGGAGTGGAATGGGGACATACTTGGGAAAAGATTCCTGGTTTTTCAGCCCTGGAATCCAATGATAATGATCCATCTCAACACTGCAGTACCCTCCTGAAGTTGTCAGCCAATCATCACACAGTCCAATTGGCTTGCTCCCAATTTCTGTCTCATCCTGACTCCATGCCATTCTATAGGGGCTTTCATCGATCCCACCTTCTACCTGAGCAAATCAGTCTCCAATATCATTAATTCCATTGTCTTTGGAGACCGCTTTGACTATGAAGACAATGAGTTCCTTTCACTGCTACAAATGACAACAGTAGTCAAGAAATTTATAGCTTCACCTCTGGGACAGGTAACATTCCAACTTTGCCTTCCAGCCACCCCCAATCAACATGCCAATAGCAATCAGAGGGCAACAGATGTCCCAAGGTATCACCCTCTTAGAGTCAAAGTCCTCTCCAACACAACCCCCACTGTTGGGCAACTGACCAATTGCACCATACTTGGGCAGAGGCCTAATACTCAATCTCTAAAGATTTCTGGATATCTTAACAGATGGCCCCTAAACAACTTGACAGCAAGATACTTACCCTCCTCTCAGCTCTCACCTGGACCAGTGGTCCCATCCCAAGTTAACTTTTATCTTGAACAGATGATCCCTATTTAGTCTTTCCGAACATTTTAACACCTGAATAGATGACCACTTCAGCTATTTCTGAACACCTGAAACTTAATGCTGCAAATTTCAGATTACCAAAATAATTTGAGTACTATAAACCTATTTTTAAAAGGGCCAGCCTGCCCTGTATCTAGACAAGTGTCTGATACTCATCCTACTTAACTACATGAAAGGCTGCACAGGTACTAGAGCCGAGATAAATAAACATGTATTTGGACATATTATTCTCTCAAGTACCTAATGTGTGCTCTTCAACCCAGCTGATTCACACCTTATGAAGGTGTCCCTATACAGTCCATTGGAAAGTCTAAACATAAAAATGGGTATCCTCTATTTGAACACCTGAAATACTGTCCCAATTTATGTTTGCATACCAGTAAATTAGTCACCAGATTAAATACATGAATCCAACTAGACAATCAACTACAAGTTAGCCAGTCTTAATGCCTGAACACCTAAGGAGGTTATCCACAATTACAACCCCACCTGAATTCCTCAAAACTTGGATTTCTCCATTTCCAAATTATTGGAATTTATAAACATGTGTGTCCCAAACCATCTCACTTAAACTCTTGAACAATGATTCTCACACTTAACCCACGTATACAATTGCATATCTCTTCGACTGGGCCTCACTTAAATATCTAAATATTGGACAGATTCCTGCTCCCAATGTTCTTCTTGCCCTTAGACAGTCCCCACTCCAGCTGGTTCCTGCCCACTGAGAGCTGCCTGTCTGTTGTATTCTTTTTTTCCACTTCCAGCTCTATGAGATATTTTATTCAGTGATGAAATACTTGCCAGGACCACAGCAAAAGGCCTTTCAGGGCATGCAGCAGTTGGAGAATTATATGATCAAGAAGGTGGAGCAGAACCAGCGCACACTGGATCCCAATGCCCCACGGGACTTCATTGATTCCTTTCTTATTCGCATACAGCAGGTACATGTAGCAATCAGGATGTAAATTATCAATGCCAAGCAGAGGTAAATCAGGGTACGGAGGAAGGAAGAACTGAACCACATTCAAATTGGTTCCCCATTGTAATGATCTCCTTAATTCCAATCATAATTGAATGTTGCTATCTTATCTACTGAGCCCTAATTCAATGCAAGATATGTGCAAAAAATAATAATAATAGCAACCACGTCCATAGCAATACCATGTTCCAGGCAATATTTTTAAATGTTCTATGATATTCACCTACTCGTGCCCATAACAGTTCTTGAGTGATGTTATTTTACTGCACCATTTCACATATGGGTAAACTGCAGTCAAAAGTGTAAGTGACTTTCCTGAGACCACACAGCAGAAAGTCATAGACTCTAGCTCTGACTCCAAAACTAGCGTTTTCATCCCCCATTCTCTAGGCTTTGCTATCCTAAGTATCAGATACACCTGTGTGGACAGGTGACCTGCTTTGCTATATGATCCTGGCAGAGTTCCACAGGCATCTGGAAATCAATCTTCAGCCTGTAAAGAAAGGGAAAATTTTTCAAAGGTTCTTAATTATGCAGTATGAAATTCAAAGGATTAATGGAGGGAAATCTTCCATTTGAAAATTCAAGATATTTTGGGAAAGAATAGGACATGGCCATTCACAATATTTTGTCTTATTTTCAGAAAATATATCCTTAAGTCATTTATGACAGCCTTTCTTTTTTTTATTAACTTTATTGAAAATCAATAATTACATATCATATTAAAAACTGTAGAGAAATATTGAAATGTGAAAGATATAAGATGTAGAAGAGACTTTTAGGGACATATTTCTTTTTTCCATAATTTTATTGAGAAGTAAATAGCAATGAGACAGTTTCAAATCAAATTGGTAGTTCCAATAATTAACACATTGAATACTGCTTTTCTAGTGGTTGTTTGTTGTACAAGATGCAGAAATGATATCCTATTTACAAATACTATTAGAACAAATCCCTCTATTCCTTGAATTAAGAGAATGTAGCTATATATCTATCCTAACCATTTTGAATACACAGATACAAAATGGACATTCATCTATATCCCCTTTTTTTGTTTAGATCCATCATTTAAATATTATAGGTGTGTGAACTCAGTAAAATATTACAAAATATTCCAGTAGTCCATAATAGTATTGGGTCTTCCACTTGCCTGGCAATGTGTGACAGCCTTTCTTCACATTTCTGACCCTCTTCTCATTTCACATTCCCATACTTTGTAAATGTTGCTACCATTAAAAAAGTTCATAATTAAAGAATAGTCAGCCAGTAAAAAAAACCTGAGAAGGGCATTTTGGGGCAGGTCAGGATAAAGGCCTGGCAACTCTTGAAAACCCAGCAGATCTAGAGTCCTTCTTCCCAACTTAGGTCTGGACCTAAAATAAATGTGTTCAAGGAAAACTCAAGAAGGTCCCTCAGAGGGGGAGTAAATGGGCTCAGACTAATAATCTCTCTTGCTACAGGAGAAGAAGAATCCCAACACAGAGTTCCACATGAAGAACCTGGTGATGACCATACTGAGCCTATTCTTTGCAGGCACAGAGACCGTCAGCTCAACTCTGCGATTTGGCCTCCTGTTGTTCGCGAAGCACCCGGATGTGGAGGGTAAGACTGAGGAAACAAAGAGGTATGGGACACAGATTCTTCAAAGTCACCTGAGTTTGCAGGAATGATAACATCTCCCCTAGCCTCTCGACCCTTTTATACAGCCTGCCGTGCAGAGATGGGAGAAACAGTCTCACTAGCTGTTAAAATATTGAGATTGTCTAAAATGATTTGCACACACTATGCTGAGACCACTTTATGCTAAATTCCTGAATATTGTGTGTGTGTGTGTGTGTGTGTGTGTGTGTGTAACCGTGGATTGATCTAAGGCCCTTGAGTTTGCCAGGCAAGCGCTTATTCTACTGAGCTATCTCCCTGGCCCGCATGAATATTTTTCTCTTCTGCTTCCTCTACAGTTCTTACATGAACAAAGCAGCAAGATGTGATCAGATAGTGAGGGTCATCTGTTGTGAAAGTCCTACATGTATACATAGATACTTGTCATGCATATAGTGTCACATATTTGGATGTTGTGCTTGCTCTGAGACCAATAAAAGCAAAGATATATTGTATTACTCCCCTAGCCAAGGTCCGTGAGGAGATTGACCGAGTGATTGGAAGGAACCGACAACCCCAGTTTGAGGACCGAATGAAGATGCCCTACACAGAGGCAGTGATACATGAAATCCAAAGATTTGCAAACTTTGCCCCCATGGGTATACCTCGCAGGATCACCAAGGACACTACACTTCGTGACTTCTTTATTCCCAAGGTGCAGTCCATACACTCTAGAGGAATATACAACCACTCCCTGGAATCTCAATACCCCATCTCCATTAGAGGATTTCTATCTCATATCCCACTTTTTCAAAGGACTCTTTAACTATTGTGTCCCTTCATCTTTTCCGCCAATAATTTCCTAATTTCTGTGTCTTCCCCAGTCTTAAGGCATCAGGTGCTTAAATTCCATGTTCCTGAAGTCCCTAGAGAAAGCAGCATATGGGAAACGCCAACTGCTCCCAACTTTCCGCCTTAGGAGATAGGAATTGTGTGTTCTTCAATCATCAGAAACAAGAATCCTGTTTAATTTAAACATCTTGCCTCAAGGAAAATGAACGCACAAAATTCTTTCCTCAGGAAACACCAACCCCATTTACCCCAAAACTTCATCTAGATCATTCCAATTTCCCCCCTCTAACACGTCTATGCTTTCAGCACATTCACATTTCAGCCCTTATCAATATTTTTTCTCTTCTCTGACAGGGCACTGAAGTGTTCCCTATGCTGGGTTCTGTGCTGACAGATTGCAATTTCTTCTCCAACCCAGAAGAGTTCAACCCACAGCACTTCCTAGATGAGAAGGGCCAGTTTAAAAAGAGTGATGGCTTTATACCCTTTTCCATTGGTAAGAGAACAGTGTTTGCTGCTAGACCACCACTAATACCAAAAAGAGCATCTTCTTGCTGGTTCCCTCTGTCGGGTGCAGCCTAGTATCTTTATCAAGCTGAATACCATATATCTGTATCCAAGGTAGGGAAGAGATTATCATACCCCTTTCATAGACTTTTCTAAGGACACACAACCCATTCTTCAGGTTTGTAGACAGAAGATAATAGCACTGCAACCATTTTGAGAGTCTATTTGGAGAGAAATGACATCTGAATTTCTATTTGCTATAATCATGCATGGGTCACTTCACCTAATGTACAAGGGAAACTGGCTCAAAAAATATTAAATCCTCCCATAAGGTCAATCACACCAAAGCATTTGAAACTCCTTCTCCTTCGGAGAACACAGCAGAGTGTTAGTACAGAGCGAGGTACAAGTGAATGTTCATTTCATATGCATCCTTCCTTCCTCTCTTCTTCAGGAAAGCGGAACTGTTTTGGGGAAGGCCTGACTAGAATGGAGCTCTTTCTCTTCTTCACCATCATCATACAGAACTTTAGGTTCAAATCCTCACCAGCACCTGAGGATATATATGTGGCCCCCAAACCTTTGGGCTTTACCAGGATGACACCAGATTACACCATGAGTTTCCTGCCCCGCTGATCCAGGAATAATCCAGGGCTAGGCAAGTTGATGGGGCAAGGAAAAATGGAAGGTACCATCAGTGGGTACAGTGGTATGGGTATGACCAAAGATGACCAAAATTCCATGGAAATGAAAGGTTGAGAGGGACAGGGCAAAGAAAAGAAACAGAACAGACTTCTCCCTTTGCTAAAGGTAAAGTCTTCAAAGTCAGACAAGAGAAATGAAAATCATACATTGTGCTATGTATAATGATAAGTATTATGATTATATTCATTGAGCACTATTCTGTGTTTGATATGTAGTATAAGCATCCCATGATGTTCTCATTTATTGTCATTAAACCCACCCAAGGAGGAGCAGTGTTCATGTGAATTTTGCAGGTGAAATTTCTGAGAATTAGAAAGTTTAAGTCAGTTACTGAAGTCCCAAGGAACGTGAGTGACCAGAAAAAACATATCTGTACAGATCCTTTGGAAACACTTCTAGAAAACCTCCCAAAAGATCCCTCTCTGAGGGATCTTCTAGAGTCCTGGCAGGCAATTACCCTAGCTTCACAACTGACTTATCAACACTGTTGCTCATTGATGCACTGCTTGCACACCAAAAGCGTCATATTCTGTGAACCCCACCAAGTAAGGCCACTGTGTTTGACTCAAAGTCAGGCTGTGACACAAGAATTAGTATTTTTAGTGATGTGTACCAGACAGAAAAAAACTTTAACATAAGACCAGGGGAACTTTAGACCAAGACAAAGTTATGAGAATGTAATGTGTCCATGCCCAGAATTGCACCCAAGTGTATGACTGCATCTTCTCAGGAAAGTCCTGAATACCTATGCTGCCATAACCTTCTAAATGAAAGTTTGCCTTATTCTGATATCAATGGTAATACCCATATAAGTGTAAAGATTTCCTGTCTTCTCTCACATAAGTCAGTTTAAATCCTCTTAGAAATAAAATTTTTGAGCGAATAGCTCTCTCTGAAGCTAAGATGGCAAAATAGAATTCCACAACTTTGTAAGTAACTAGAGTAACAGCAACAAAAGAAAAATAATATTCCCAGAAAAAAAGAGCTCTAAGAACACTTAATCCATCTTTGCATCCTAGAGTCAGCCATCTCTGAAAATAAAACCCAGGTAAGACCACATGAGCTCTAGGGAGACACCTTGACACATACCATAATTTTCTGCCTCTAGCCCCTCAAAGAGTCATGTACATTCCTTTGTACAAAAAGGAGTTAGTCCATCTCTAAAAGTTGCCAAATTCCTAGCAGTTATTAATGAAAAGTCTAAGTCCAAAGTCTTCTCTGAGAAAAGGAGCAAGACTCTTAGCTATGAGCCCATAAACAAATAAAAAGAAAGTTAGACACTTTCAAAATACAATGGCACAGGATAACCATTACCATTCCATAAGGTACAAATAGGGAAATATAAAGAAATGAGACCAAAGTAAGTCCAAAATCCAACAGGATATACATTAAGTCTTGTAGCTCCTTGTGCAACAGCTGAGGCAATCTGAGGAAAATCATAAACTCCAAAAGTACTTGGGTGACTCCACCCCTACAGAACTGCAAATGTATATAGCTACCATAGCTTCTCACTGGGGCTGGCTCTGCTCCCTCCCTCAAGATTTCCTCAGACGATGTACATCCATCAGTGGATCCACATTCCACTTCTAGGGTCTCTACAGCATCTTGATATTAACATTCACAGCATCACACACTGCCCTCTCAGAGGCACACTGCCTGGCCTCCCAGGCCATCTTCTGAAATCTGGGTGGAAACCTTCTGATCTCACAACTCTCGCATTCTGAATGCATCAGAAAACAGTGCTTTGTGGATGGTGCCAAGGTCTGTTTCCAGCTGGAGCAATGGCCAGGCTTCCTTCTCTCCTAGCTGTAGGAGTTGAATGACTCACCAAATCCTGAGGAAAAACTTCCCTAGGCCACCACCATCCTGGAACATGTTGAACCAGGACTGTCTTCTAAACAAAGTTGTTCACCTGTGCAAGTCTGAGGCTGGAAAATGTGGAGCTCTGCTGCTTCTTGTGATTCCCTCAGACTATTTTTTCTATTCTCTTGTTCCTTCTCAACAAGGGACTTGCATCACCTTGAAAGCCACAAATGAAGCTTTACTTTGACTTTATTCTGTTTCTTCTCTGGGGCCACCTTTCACTGGTGGGCAGCATCCGGTCAGGCAAAAGAAGCAGAACAGACACTAGAGGATCAGGAAACTCTGGCAGGACTTTCCAAGACTGTTATGGTCTCTTGAAAAAGCAATCATGGATATCTAGGCAGTCAAAACCACAAAGGCGATTGGTTTTCTCCCTCTAATCCCTGCTAGAAAAGTCAGCAGAGCATGCTTGCCTTGGCTAGAGAGCTCTTCTGAGGGGCACATAACAGCAGGACTCTGATTTGGGAAAATTCAAAACATTCCAAGTCATGGGAAAGGACTTGACCAAAAACATGAGCACTGTCTCTGAATTCTTAAGGTAGCACAGTCCAAGACAGTTGAGAACCCTGGATGTGAGAATTTGCAAAGGCAAAAATAAACTGAGAATCTGTAGATAAAAGAATACAAAAGAAGGCATCTTTTAAATCTGACACTTAAAAACAACTGACATATTTTGGGACCTAAGAAAGTAGAGTGTAAAGGTTAGATACTGCTTAAGAGATTGGCACCAGTGTCTCATTTACCAATTTAAGGTCCTATATCAAACCTTACTCTCCATTGGGTTTTCATACTACTAAGATTGGAGTGTTGCAAAGGCTGTCACAAAGTGGAAGTAAACCTTGTGCTTTAAGTTTTCAATTATAAGGGCTGGCAAGATAGCTCAACAAACTAAGATCCTGCTTAGGCAAGCTCAAGGACCAGGATTCGATACCCAGTCCTGCCTCCAGGGCACACTGAGCAGGCAACTGAATCCAGGCATGGTGGCTCATGCCTGTAATCCCAGCACTGGGGAGGCTGAAAACAGGAGGACCACTACAAGTCTGAGCTGCATAGTGAAACCCTGTACCAAAAACATTAAAAAGTTGTCAATTATAGGCAGTAGTACTTCCTTTGAAACTTCAGACTTTAGAAACTATCCATTTCAGTGAAGAAAAATAGTGTGATCTTTGTGCTGCAAACCACCACAGCTCTCAGTGGTCCCAAGGAGAAACAGTGAGGGGATTTAGAAAATAAAGACAAGAGATAACAACTGAGGTCAGGTGGAGGTCCTCTTATGATGAGGGGAAAACTCAACAAAAACTGTAGGGCTGTATATTTATACTCTTTACAAGGTTAGTATCATGAGACACAGGGATTGCCTAGCGACTAGCAGCTAGAATAGTCCCAAGCAAGTTGCTTTTCTCAGGACCAAGGTAGCTTGATTGCTTCAGGCACTTTGGCCTTTTCTTGCCCCACACATATGACCAAATTCCAGTTTCAGCCACTCTCTTAAATCTGAACTATATTTGTACTAGACAGCTCTTATTGCTACTGCTATTCTACTTTTAGTTTCCCATACTTGAGATTTTATTTCTGCTTCCATGAAGGGGAAGCAGTGTACTTGACCTGAGTGCACAGATGTTCCAGTATTCAAACAAGGCAAAATATCTCTCCCAAAAAAGGGCAACGGGGATTTCATAATTAAAAACGAATGGCAGAAGAGGAAGCCATCCTAATTATAGCCCAAAGACTGTGAGAACTGGCGAGTTACCTCCTCTCAAATGACTTCTTTGACTGACGCATGATGGCTCGAAGGAAGGTCAGGATTAAAAAGGACAGAGATATGCACCAGTGTTCAGCAATAAACTGGTTTCATTTTCTCTCTGTAGTCATGACTACCCAGGGCTCATCCATGGAGACGACCATCCAACCAGAGGGAGAAGGCAGAGTGCCCCAGATCACTTCAGTGTTGCAGGACCACTTAGTAAACTGGGTGTGATCCCTGGGGCCTCCAGCTTAGGAGGAAATCTGACTCCCTATGGCCAGCCCTGTAGTCAAGGCATGGTTCACGGAGCCTTTTGTTATGATAATTCTCATAACAGTCCCTCGTAAAGTGGCCTGGATTTCCACAGTGGTAGCAGGTGAGTTGTTTATTCATCGAGTTCTTGGACAACTGAATATCAAATTTAGAATCTATTCCTTTTAATGACACATTTAAGACATCCACATTTTCCTGTCTGTTTTCTCCCCTTGGCTCCTCCATATGAGAACAGGCTTATCACAGGGCTGGTTGTTCCTCTCTCCATGGTCACACATTCTGGAAGGCCATGAATAATGGCATTTCACTGTCTGTAAATAAACAAGCATACCCTTGACCTTATGTTACTAACTGCACTGACCTATCCCACTTTCCTGATTGGATATCCTACCATAGCATTCCAGGCCTGAAAATTTAAAGACCCAATCCAAAAATGCACATCTGAGATGAACACACACTTCTCAGAGGACAAAATTATAGAAGTGAATAAATATATGAAAAAATGCTCCACATCACTAGCCACCCACGAAGTACAAATTAAAACAACACTGAGATACCATCTCAATCCACAAAGAATGGCTATCATAAAGAAATCAATCAACAATGAATGCTGGAGAGACTGTAGGGGAAAAAGGACACTTCTCCACTGCTGGTGGGAATGTAGACCGGAGCAACCATTATGGAAATCAGTGTGGAGATTCCTTACAAAACTAGGATGGGAAATCCCATTCAAACCACCTATCCCCCTACTGGGAATTTTCCCAGAGGAACTGAAAACGTCATATCATAGCGATATATATGTATCTATGTTTATAGCAGCACAATTTGTGATAGCCAAATCTTGGAAACAACCAAGATGCCTGTCACCTGAGGAATGGATGAAAAAGATGTGGTATTTTTATACAATGGAGTGTTACTCAGCTCTAAAGAATGGTAAACTATTCAATAACGGAACTTAGAAAAAATGGGGTACACCGATGAATGTCCATTTTGTATATGTGTATTCAAAGTGGTTAG